CCTGAGTCCTCCCGGAGAAGGGCGGCATACAAATAATAAAATACCAATACCAATACCAATACCTCACATGGGGTTGTTGTGAGGAAAATAGAAGCAGGAAGGAATATTAGATATGTTTACTGCCTTGAGATATTTGTAAACACAATACAGGCTGGGTAAAATAATCTTTAAAAAGATAAAACATGGAGATGATTGATAATACATAACCTCCAATGACATTTAAAACTGGTTCTCAGATGAGGAAGGTGAGAGAGAGAGAGAGATGTCTTATAGGTGCCTAGTACCTGTTTTCTCCAATCCTTGGGGCCCATTTTAATGCTTAGCTATATAGTTTAGAGATAATACTTAGCTGGAAGCACAACCATGCCTCTATGTCAATGTTTATCAACTTTCAACATTTTGGGAGTTCAAGTCCATGAATCTTAAAGTTGATAAACACTTCCTTATGCAAATCAGAAATATAATGTAGGATAAGCTGCTTCATCCATTAATGATCCAAATCATTAGTTCTTTATTAAGAACTGATCTTGTGTCTATAGAAATACAAACAGATAAGATGACACCAACTGCAGTACTTTTAAGGTTGAAGAACAAACCCAATAAGGTCTAATTTCCTCTTCTTTTATTCAACCCATGTCTCTTATTTTTAGCAACACTTCTCCTTTGTACATCACATGTTGGGAAAGTTGTAGCTGGTATTCTCATGTTTGCACCTCCTTTTAACCTGCTCCATTGCACCTCCATTTAATATTTCAGGAACAAAAAACCAAACAGTCACCTGTTCTTCCTGAAGGCCCGCTCCAAAGATTGGAGGAACACTGTATGATAGGTTTTATATATCAGATCCTATTTCTCTCTATTTGCACCATATCAAATACATACATTTGAGATTAAGTAAGAGTGGAGAGTTAAAGTAGAATGGCTGTATCGAAAACAAGCCACCTGGTTTGGTTATGGAGAAGCTTCTCTTTCAACAGTTAAAATATTCTCTGTCTTTCCGAGTTGGACTGGTGGATGTGTTCCCATATCAAGATTGCTCCAAGCTTAAAGCACCACTTCTTAACATATGTTGATCCGTATTCTTTGCTGCCTTCAGTTTCCTTTCTATAAGACATTTTNTACTTGAGAGACCGCCTGCTGCCAATTACCTCCCACAGACCCATTAGATCTCACAGGGTCGGCCTCCTCCGGGTGCCATCTACCAGCCAATGCCATCTGGCTACTACCCGGGGGAGGGCCTTCTCTGTGGCAGCTCCGGCCCTCTGGAACGAACTCCCCACAGGGATTCGGACCCTCACCTCTCTCCAGGCCTTCCGAAAAGCCGTCAAAACCTGGCTTTGCTGGCAGGCCTGGGGGTGATGAGTTCCCTCCCCTCTCGACTTGTATGGTTGTGTGCCTCTTGCTTATTTTAATTATCTGTATTTCATTTTATGTTCCCCTTTTTTCCCCTTTTGAACTGTTCGCCGCCCTGAGTCCTTCCCGGAGAAGGGCGGCATACAAATAATAAAATTCAATTCAATTCAATAACAGCGAGGAGAGAAGGCCAGCCACACAACCACCAATGCTGCCGGTTGTCACAGGGAACCTGGAAAGTGCCAAAGAGGGAAGATCCTGCACCATGATTGAAGGTCTCCTACTGTGAATTCACACCTTGGCATCCATCCCTGACCCTCCTGGGTGGAAGGGGAAAAAAATGGAGGTGATTATAATCTACACCGATCCCTCTCTGTGGGTCCTGCACCTGTTTCATTATTCTCCAGTTTCCCACCTGAACAAAACGGCTCCTCTTTTGTCTCCCGTCCCCCCCTCCCAAGAAGACCGTACAGGAAGGACTTCAGAAAATGCAGTCGGAGGGGAACTTGGCCGCCAGCCAGAGAACGTACGACCTGCGGTATCAGGAGATAAAAAGGAGGAGACCTGTTCCTGGCGACCACATCAGCTGTGGACCTCCACGGCAGAAGAACCAACGATGGAAGGGAGCTTCTGGAAGACCTGGCTGGTGGTTGGAGCGCTTCTGGTCTTCGGGTGCTCCTCGCTGCCTCATAAGCCCTTGACCTATGAGAAGGCTGTGGACCTCGCGGTGGCCATCTACAATAGCAAAGCAGGGGAAGACTGTGTATATCGTCTCCTGGAGGCTCTTGCTGAGCCTCAGTGGGTACGTCACTCTTCAGTTCAGGTCCACTGAGGGCTTGTTTGAGAGTCTTTGGTAGAGAAGACCCATCCCTGATGGGCAGCAGATCTGAGACTGCTGGTGAGCTTGTGAGAAAGGGGGGAATCCAGCCATCCTGTCCTCCTAGCATGGAGCTCTTCAAGAGCCTTCATCTACGGTCAGCCAGGATGATGGGCATGGAATTTCTGGAACCAGCATGGATTCTGGTATGTAGCCACATTCGTTGGCTACATCAAGAGTCATTCAGAAATAATCCCAGTGTGAACTGGGAGAAGGTGTAGGTGGCCTTCAAACTAACCATCTGTTTGTTTCAGGATCCTATTTCCGATAGCCACGAAGAGTTGAACTTCACCATCAAGGAGACCATGTGCCTGTTGGAAGATGTGGTTTTCTTCGATGAATGTGACTTCAAAGAAGACGGGGTGAGTGAGGGATGCCAATGATCTTTTATAGATGGAGACATGGCCAATGGGACCTCTGTGGGACCTTCCTGGCAGAGCTGAAACTGGGTCTCCATCCCCACTGGGCTGAAGAAAGAACTTATTTAAACTGCCTCTTTTCTCTTCCAACTTTGTCCTGAAGGACATTCTTCCCCTAGGTTCTCCAAGTCAACTCTTAGCTCCGCCACCATGGATGGAGAAGGGACCCAACTCTTGAACCCTTCAAGAATGGCTTCCTGTTTCCCCCAAAGTTGCACGGAGAGAGAGAGACTGAGGTTGAACCGGCTTAGTTTGTCTGACAATGTTGGAAGGACATGGTTGAAGCAATCTCAGGGACTGACCCAAGGTTCCTCCTTAGGAAACCAGATGGTGGCCTCCATGTAATCAATTATGGGAGATATCTGGAATCTCAGCTATCTTCTTTCTGTTGGATCCAATCTGAGTCAGTCACCAGGTCCAGAGATTAAAGTCTTCCAAGCTTTCAGATTCGTGCTGGAAGTCATCTTCAGGGAATTTTTCTTTCTCTCTCTCTCTCTCCACATTCTGTATAGAGAGAAGTTCCTTGAGGATGGTCTCCATCAAAGCTCAAAAGAACTACAATGTCCAGCCCTGGTGACTGATCAGATTCGGCAACATTATCTCGGGACACCTCTATCCGCTTTCATGCACGCATTTTTCTCCTCTGCAGGTGATCAGGCAATGTACTGGTTACTACTACTTCGATGAGAGGCCTCCAGTGGTTGTGCTCACTTGTGTAGTTGTGGCTGGAATGGAGGAGGAGAAAGGAGAAGAAGTGGGGAAGAAGGAAGAGGAGAAGCAGGAGGAGGAGGAGGAGAAGGAGGAGGAGAACCAAGCCAGGAACAAGGAGGAGGAGGAGAAGAAGGAAGAGGAGGAGGAGAAGGAAGAAGGGAAGGAAACAGAGAAACAGGAGGAGAAGGAGGAGGAGGAGAAGGTAAGAACTCAGTGTGATGCATGGGGCCTCCTGC